GGTCCCTTTTTTAAAAGCCGGGTGCCAGAGAGCTACTGTGAATTCAGAGACCAGGATTCCAACTCCATCCACACCAGCCGCTCGCCGGCTGTGTGACCTTGGGCAAGTCACCTCCTCTCTGACCTTGACCACCCCATCTGTGCATCAGGGACAGTAACAGAACTCGCCTGGTGGGATCAGGGTTAACAATGAAGTGAGAGGACTCGGGTGAAGCACCTGGCACACAGGATGCTCAGGGGCCCCCGTTTTTATTCTTCTTATTCATAAAGGCACCCCAAAGAGGCGCCACAGGTTCTCCGCATTCCAATGGTTTGTTGAAGAAACTGTGCCTGGGTAGCTCATTCACTCCAAACGAGCCCCAAATCATAAAAACAGCTTCAGAACTGGAACCGGATTGGGGTTCAGAAAGCCCGGCATTTAATTCCCCCAAGTCTCTGTTAAAGGCTCTGTGCCACGGGCATGTCAACTCCCATTCACCGTTCGGGACCCATGTACAGCTCGGACCAGGTCGCATGTTCAGGAAACAAAACACTTACCACCTACAGCAAACACCTAGGATGTGCCCAATCACGGCTCATCCTAAACACACAGAGGACGCTGGCATCTGCATTCGAGCCAGCGGCCAGCCTGACCCACTCTGCCAGGCTGCCCTCCCACCATGAATTCCACCGTCGTGCACGTGGCACGTGGCCATGCGCCACCCGCTGCCAGACACATCTACTGTCCCCTACGCGGGGAGGGGTGGCGGCCATTTCGCCAGCAGCTGGTGAATCGTGGGTGCTAAGTGGAGACTTCAACCTGAATCAGACCCGGGGGCCGCAGCTCCTTTGTAAGTTAGTTACTGTTGAGCAGCATTTACCACTAGCAAAGCACGTTCACATTCTTTGCAAAGAATCCTAAAGCCCCAAACCCGGTCCACGTTTAGTACAGTGACCTCCATTTTGCAGGAGAGAGAACAGCTGAGTGGCTTCCCAGGATCACAGGTAGAAAGGGGCAGAGCCAGGGTTCAGACCCAGCATGTACACCCCAAGCCCAAGCTCTTATCAAAACTATCTTCTTTCGGAGGAACGGAGGAGCGTGTGGCCTGGATTAAAATAAACGACTAAAACCCTGTGCTCCTCCTAGGCTCCCTGCGGAGGTGGACCCCGCCACCGTGTTCGCCTCGCTCTCCCCAGAGGGTCTGCTGATCATCGAGGCTCCCCAGGTGCCCCCGTACTCGCCATCCGGAGAGAGCGGCTTCAGCAACCAGCTTCCTCAAGACGGCCAAGAGGTCACCTGCACTTGAGACCCCAGTCCTGGCCCATCCTTGTCACCCCACCCACCACCCCCACCCCCAGGGCTTCTCTGATTCCAGGGTACATTAGTCATCACTTCAGCTGAACTCGTAGATTTAGTGCAACTAAAATGTTGGGGGTCAGGGTCATTTGACCAGTCCCTAGAGAGTGTAGGACTAGGTGTTTGCACCAGGGGGCGCGATTGGCAAGTCATGCTGGGTGGCGTTAGGCCAAAATGCTGGAAGTGTTTCTTTCTTTACTTTTTCTGTCTCGATAAAAATGTTGTACATTCAACAGCTGCACAGCATGCAGAAGGGGACATAGCATGTCACACGGTGTCTCACCTTGCAGCTGATGCCAGAGCTGCTTTTCTCTGGGGACCTCGCATCACCCAGATTCCTGTTCTGGGCCCCGATGTCCGTGCCTGCCCCCTGGTTGGCTGATGGGGCCCATGAGCTCCCTGCACTGTGTTTCTGCGGCCCTGGCCTATAGCGGTGACAGCAGGGCTTCCTCCCCAAACGGGAATTACCCAACAGTCACAGGAAAGCATCAGTGCCTTCTGCCCTCCGCCCAGCACCGGCCCCACGTTCCCGAGCTCACAGTCCCCCAGGAGTCTGGAAGCCCCTCGGTTTACCCTCCAGCTAACGTCCCCCTTCCTTGTGTCTATGTCCTCGTCGGGATTTTTACAGAGGGGGCTGTCTCCAGGCAGCTCCGCCAGGAACCAAGCAAAGGCCAGACAGCCGGCAGGCAGGATAGTGGTACTGTGTGTACGGGTGGGACGTGTGTGTCATTGTTATTTGAATTGTGCTGTTCTTTAGGGGAAAAATAACAGTAAATAATAATAAAGGAACTGGTGTTCTTAGCCCTGTGTGCTTCCTTTGATTGAGGAACTAAATGCTACATCACTTAGATTTTTAGTATCAATTGGGAATGCTCGTGCTGCAAATACTAACACCCAACACGTCGTGGTTTAACGGACATAAGCGTCTCTTATCTGGCTTTACAACAAGTCTAGATGGGCGATTTCACAGTTACTTCTCCAGCTGTTATGCCACCAAAACCCCCAAGTACTTCCCTCTTTTTCCTCTGCCGTCTCTGACGGTCTCCCCTCATGGCTGCAGGGTGGAGGCGGCAGCTCCCAGCATCCCCCCTCCCCCCCTCCGGGGCATGTGTGGGAAGGGAAGGCGGGGCACAAGGCCTTCTCATCTGCACTCCCTTTTGCCAGTTCGAGATCCTCTTGCAGGGGCTGTCAGGAGACGAGGTTCAGCTCATTGACCCAAACTGGGGCGCGTTCACCCTGAAGCCCATCGCCGGCAGAAGGGAAAGGGGCGGCCACAGGGGGCTCAGGTCCACACTGACCTGTCCTCGGAGGCCGGGAGCACAGCTGGGAAGGAGGAGGGGGCACGGCAGTTGGGGGGGAGTCGGCATTCAGGGACTGGCGCACAAGTGTCATTCCTATGGACCAGCTTGGGTGTCCCATGACCACCTTTGAGCCACAGCCCATGACATCAGTGCTTTGATTGGCCAGGCCTGGGGCACATGCTCGCTCCATCCCTGGAGGAAGCAGACACGGATTTTACAATGAAGCTGAGAGAGAAGAGGCGCTGAGGTGTTGTAATGCACCCCGAGGATTCCAGAAGGACGCCTCAATCCGGGACTGAGTCAGCCGTGCTCTCCACATCTCGCAGTGCCCTCCCCATGCCCGCCACCAGATTTATAGGCAAAGATCACAAAGGTATTGATTACATCCCAGGGTTTGGAATGAGGAACCTGGTTCGCAAAAAAAGCAGTTTACAGAAGCAGAGTTAAACATGTTAGTTATAGTTTTGGGTCTCCGGATCACTGAGTTGACAGGAACACATTATCTAGAGCCCTCGGGTCTTGGGATAATTGTGCTGTCCTGGTTCCCAGGTACAGAGGAATGTGCTTTCTAAAACCACTATGACCACAACCAATGGGGTATTCACATTACAATCAATAAGGCATTCAATCAAATGGGATGATTCACCCTGAAGCCCATCGGCAGAAGGGAAAGGGGCGGCCACAGGGGGCTCAGGTCCACACTGACCTGTCCTCGGAGGCCGGGAGCACAGCTGGGAAGGAGGAGGGGGCACGGCAGTTGGGGGGGAGTCGGCATTCAGGGACTGGCGCAGACCGAGGCTGCCGGGCACAGACCACGTTCAGGGTTCAGGAAACCAAGTCAAACTGAAGTAGGCGAAGGGGTGCGTATTGGTACGCACGGCCGAGAAGTCCAGGGTGGCGTCCCTTCCAGGCTCCCAATGACATCACCAGACTGTTTCTCTCCATCCCTGGTGCTGCCTCCACTCCCAGGCTCCCTGTTGTCCCTGCCTCCCGGCTCCTCCCCTCCATGCCCCACGTCCTCCCACGTGGCCACAAGATGACTAGTCCCTACAGCCACATTCTTCCACATTCCAGTCTTGGTGG